AAACACTTCAAAAGCCACTTACATGCCCTATTTTGGTTTAATCAACCTGTAAAGCTCTCAGTGTATGCAATTTCATGTGGCTTGGCAGAAGCGCTCTTGGGAACAGGTCACCAATAAGCCATTGCAAGCCTTCTTGTAATGATAGTCTTTGATATTAAATGTTCTGTTGAGGCACCAATTCAGCAATACCTCTAAGTATGTGCTTAGGTGACTTAGGGCTACAAGGACCTGCTAAGCCTAAAAGGTCTTCTGTACTGGATAATATTGATGAAGACTTTGAGGTTACTGTGACACTGGTCATAATTCTGGCCACAAAAGCATATGACAGACTAAAGCCTGAACCCTTTTAAAATATAGCTTTTCAGCAGCTGGAGGAGACAATTGTAGAAGACTGGGCAGAAGAGAAGTCAATACTTCTAGCTGGTGCTAGACCTTTTTGGGTTTATCATGATGAGCTAAGTGTATGAGAGGTCATTACACAGGAAATGCTAGAAATGCTCCATAGTGAACATACTCATTTAAAAACCAAGGAAAGAGCCAGATGCACATTCTAGATCCTTGTCTACAGCTGAGAAGCATTCAGCCCAACTTGAAGCCACCTTTCTGCTCCCATCAATTTTAGGCTGTCTGTGTGCCAGACTAGTCTCGTATTGTAAATTAGGGGAGCCTAAGGACTTCTCTAAATTACAATGGCTGCAAAGAGGATTTTTTCAAAGGGACTGTTATAGCAACTAAGATATGCTAATAGGGAAGCCACTGATCATGTCCCTTGTTTTCTGAGCTGTCTGCAAGGAGCTATTAGGAACTGCTATGCCAGTTGTGCCACTGGAAGAATCCCTACATTGTGGTGATCTGCCGGTGGCTGGCTAGGCCAGCTTTAGGGCTTCTTTGTGCTGGCAGTGTGGTGCAACATGGTGCAGCCTTTTGTTGGCTAAGCATGGCGGTATCACAGATGTAGTCTCAATAGTTGATGTATGTAAAAATATAAATTGTAGTATCCCCAAGAGCTGTTATCACCACGCAGTTCAAGACTGAGGTGGTCTGAAGCAAGAGCTGATCTTTTCCTTCTCAAAGTGGTTGACCAGTTGGTGCTCAGATATTCTTAGAATAATAGTCAAGCATGAGCTAAACACATTGTGGGTTTGAGTCTACCACACTTATTCATGCTGTGCAGGACGTGATGGAGAGCGGTTTCAACAGTAAGATGCACGTGTATGGAAAAAAACAGTTTAAACCTGATATTAAGCTGTTTCCTCCCCTCCTCCCCCAAATATCATGGCTGCTGGTTACCTCAAATTGTGAGCGAGCTGCTCGCAGCTTAGTGGTTAAAGGGATTGTATTGTTTATGGAGAACAGAAGTGGGTCTTGAAACCCTGACCCATTTATTGGAATTTATCTGAATTTTGATCTGGATGTTTCCATGTGATGTGTCTGGGCCAAATATTGTGAGAACAACCTTCCTCGTGACACAAAACCAGGACAGCAGCCGTGCACACTCAATTTTTAAAAACAAAGTGAATTGAACTTTTGCAAATCTCTGGAAAGATTTATGTGACGTTTCTGGCCAGTTATTTTATCCAATTTTGACTCATTTCCTAAAAAATAGTCACTAAAATATATTGCAGTCAAAGTGTGATACAGTTGATGGTGGGAGATGAGATCCCTGACATTAATGCATTTTACATTAATTGCTTAAAGAGTGACAGATCCAGACCTGCTAGCAACACAGGATTAACTAACCCTGAACTAAAAGCTAGGTCTTGACCATTGTTGCTTGCACTGGGCTGAGCAGCTATCTATGGGAGTTGTGTTCAGCACCTCTCAGGATAGGGCCCATAGTTTTCAAAACCACAGCAATTAACATTCTTTTTTGCGAGTGAAAAACATGGACTGAAACTCTTTGATTGCAGACGTTCTCTCCTGTAGCAGATTTGCATTGTTCCCTTTAGAAGCTGGAAATTCAGTAGTGTAACCCTTATCAGTAGAGACTCTTGGCTGCTATACCCAAAATGCCTCTGAATGGTTACATAATCCAATCATTTTTAACAAAAGGAACTATCCAAGTTAAGTCTCAGAAGCAAAATGTAATTGGAATTAGTATTAGTATTAAAAAAAAATCTGTTCTGTTCCAATTTTGTGCTCAAGACAGCATGAACAATAAAATACAAGCATATTGAACCTGCTTTTGTAGGTTGTTGTATGCAATCACTGTGAACTAAAAATGGAATTTTTGTGCTTTGCAATGTTATTTTCAAGGTGGCTAAAGTCATTCTTTCTAAGCATTTCATTGTCTGAAGCTAAATAATACTTTAAAATAAAAATAAACTTTGGTTGGGGCTAGATAATCTCTAGAGAGAGGTAGTGAGTGGAAAAAAGTGACACTAACACATTTCTTTGTGTCAGTATTGGACAGATTACTATTTACAATGGAACATGTCTGACTACCCCGGAGTGAAGAATGTTCGTTTTCCTGATGGTCAGATTTGGAAGCCAGATATTCTTCTGTACAACAGGTAGGCACATCTTCATGAAAAGTAAACATAATTATTCCTTTAGAATGTCTAGGTGTTGGTTACTAGCATACAGTGTGTGGAAAGCAACCATTATGGTGCTTACAACAAGAAAGATGATGATGCAAGTGCTTACCAAAAAACATAGTTTCAGTTTCAGATACAGTGTGATTATAGAATCATAGAATATCAGGGTTGGAAGGGACCTCGGGAGGTCATCTAGTCCAACCCCCTGCTCAAAGCAGGACCAGTTCCCAACTAAATCATCCCAGCCAGGACTTTGTCAAGCTTGACCTTAAAAACCTCTAAGGTAGGAGATTCCACCACCTTCCTTGGTAACCTATTCCAATGCTTCACCACCCTCCTAGTGAAAAAGTTTTTCCTAATATCCAAACTAAATCTCCCCCACTGCAACTTGAGACCATTACTCCTTGTTCTGTCATCTGGTACCACTGAGAACAGTCTAGATCCATCCTCTTTGGAACCCCCTTTCAGGTAGTTGAGAGCAGCTATCAAATTCCCCCTCATTCTTCTCTTCTGCAGACTAAGCAATCCCAGTTCCCTCAGCCTCTCCTCATAAGTCATATGCTCCAGCCCCCTAATCATTTTTGTTGCCCTCCGCTGGACTCTTTCCAATTTTTCCACATCCTTCTTGTAGAGTGGGGCCCAAAACTGGACACAGTACTCCCGATGAGGCCTCACCAATGTCGAATAGAGGGGAATGATCATTAGATTATAATTAGAATATGATTATTAGAAAACTAAACTTTACTTGCACTGTTTAATGATGTTGATGGGGACAATTTTCCTTTGCTCTTGCCTGAAATGTCACTCTTTTTGAGGTAGAAGAGCTCGATTGCCTGTAGGCCCGCTCTTACTCTTTGTCCGGTTATGCCAGAAGAAGGCCAGGAGACACTGGATGTGCTTTAATTAATCCGCAGCTTTATTCCTAAATGTCTGGGAGTACTTGGCAGATAAAAGTGTGCAGTGCAGGTATGCCATAGTCATTTACGTATACCTGATAGTATAATTTACACATATCCCCCCCTTTACCCATCCTGGTCCCCAGCCAACCTGCTGCTGGGACCCTGCAACACTGCCCTAAATGAGGGCTAAGGGGGGCTATGGAGGGTGGGAGGGGTTTGGCTCCCTCTCTTACCACTCATAGGAGCCCCAACCTCCTCCTGTTTCTGCTCCTTTAAAGAATACTTCCTCTAAATCCTTTACCAATCCATTTAATCTGATTGTTGTATTCCTTCCCTACAGAGTACCTTCACTTGGCATCCTCCCCACGCCTACATAATGAGTTGCAACATCACAGCGTATCCCCTGCCCCATTTCATGTTCACCCCAACTAAACCTCCAACCTGCTGTGGGAAGGAAAAAAGTCCCCATGTCACCTTGGCCCATCTGGCATTGAGGAAAAAAAGTCCTTCCCAGCCCACTGAGAGAGGACCAACTAGCATACTTCACACAGCACATCATGACAAACCCTGGTATTTAACTAGTCCCAGGGGTGGGAGTGTGGGTGCTGCTCCACTTGGTCCTGGTAAAAGAGGGCTTTTCCTGCCCCAGTGTGGACCTAAATAGACCCCCCTCTTCTGGTCACTTAGTGGGGAGAAGTGTCAGTGTCCCCACCCTGATCTGGGCTGAAGTTGCTGCAGCAAGTCACTGGCTTTCTAGCCCTCAAAGGGGCCACACACCTTTTCCTGCTTAATGTGCAGCGAGGTCATTCTCCTGTCTGTGCTCCCCCAAGCTATAGAAAATGTTAGCATACCATTAAAGGAACTGCTGCTGTCTTCTCTAAACAGCTGACTCTTTAGGTCTTTCAGGGCAGGCAGGTAGATAGCAGCAGAAATTACCAATTGCTCAATGAAGGGAGTCTGGGTGGCACTGATAAATCCTCCTCTTGCATCTTTATCTACCAGCTTCATTTGTGGGATTTGTTTAATAACAAAGATGGTACAGTACTACTCTTTGTAAAATAACTGAGTGTTTTAAACATATTTTATGCTTGTATGTACACTAAGCTATACAAGTGCCAGTTTGTTTGTTTAAAGTGTATTCTGTGCTGAAGAAACGGGCTGAAAAATTATGATGCTGCAGCAAAATTAGTACAAGGGTAATTTTGTATGAACTCTTGTGAAAACGATGAAACTTTAAAAATATTACATAAAATATTTCCAGCAAATCACTTACTCAGTTAATTTTTAGATGGGTTCACCATAAGGCCATAATGAAACTTTCAAAGCAACCTTAATTATGGAATCCCTTTACTTTATGGTGTTCCGGTAGTAAGTCTGAGGTGAGTACACATGCTAGTACATTCAGGACTTAATACCAGGAGTATCACCTATTAATAAATACACTGCAGAACCAAAAGCCATCTAAACTTCTTATTTAATAATAAAAAAGCTACATCCTATCCTCATTCATCCATCAAGTAGAAGTCTCATTAATTTTAATAGGAGTTTTGTGTGAAAATTGGGTGTAGAATAAGGTCTTTAATCTTCAATATTTTGCTAAGACAAGATTCATAGTTCATTGATAAATACTGGGTGCTGCTGCTTTGATTACTAAAAATACCTGATGTAGTAGGTGATGAAATGTGGGTTTGTTTTGCACATGAAATGTAATTTGGTGTGTAGGCATCACCACAGTGTAACAACCCCCAAAGTATTCTTTTAGCATTTGTTCTGACACTGGTGAGTGTATCTAGCCTTTGGTAGCGTGTAGTCAGTTTTTCTGCAGGTTTTAGAATCAGTGAGAACTGCCTGTTAAAAGCATGTCATTTATTTGAAAGGCAAGACTTTGCTTCACCATATAACATCAGTCTGAAATACTCTTTCAATAATGTATATATTATGCATGGATTCATGATGCACATCTAAGAGAAGTTATGAGAAATATAAAGGCTGTTTGGAATTGCAGAAGTAAATCTATTTGGATATATTCTGTCCAGATTATACCCTATGCAACCCCAATGTAATCCACAGGATTGCATGGGTTACACATGGGGCAGAATTTAGCCCCATGGGACCCAATGCTACTCTTTTGAATTCAAATTTCTCTTAAGTATTATGAAAATAAATTATTTCACTTCATTAATATTAACACTTTGAGAATTACCTTGATTACACTAATTGCCTCACATAGTCCAAGGCTCTATGATACTGTAAAAACGAGACCATCTGTCTGAACAGGGATATGAACCATATCAGGAGAAGCGAGAGCAGATTCTAACAGTAATTTCAGTGCTACTGTCACCAAAGTTCTATCAGGAGCTCAGATATGTTACTTTTACAACAAAGTTGACTGAGTTTTAAACAGATTTTTTTAAAACTTCTACTCAAAATGTATAAAGTGGAAAAGATAGCCTTCAGCTAGCAAAATCTACTTGTTGTACATTTGTATTGTCACAGATCTTGATGGCTTTTGGATTTAGTAGACTTTGCTAGTTGAGCACCATTCCTGCTAATGTTGGATCAACATCATATATGGTATATTGTAGGTTTCTGTTATGAAACAAAAGGAGCTTTATTGTAGTTCCTTTGTGAAGTAAGTGTGCTCTCCATCCTTTCGTGTAAATCCAACAAGTCAGATTCTGCCCTTAGTTATACCCATACAGCAGCCTCTTTGTACAGCTTTTATCTCACTCATTGTTAAGAAAAAGTTCCATAAACAAGCTGGGAACAGACTTTGGCACCAAATTGAGTCTGTAATACATGCATATGTGCACCCCAACTACAATCATCACAAATACTTGTTTGTGTACAGTCACTTATTTTGTATGTGCAGATTTTGTGTGCACAACTCAGATGACATATTTGAAAAGTTGTTTCCAAAAATTCAATTTGATACTCAGAGTAACTATTCTATAGCAGAATTACAATTTCCAGTGATGAAGTGTGTGTGTGTATGTGTGATATAATCAGTGCCATATGTTATCAGCTAGTTCTTTTATACCCATACAGTCATAAATGTCACATGACCATACAATTATAAATAGGTATAATACACAGTTTTTTTAATGTTACATAGTTTAAAGTTCATGTGCCATGTTACAAAGTATCCATCCATACTGATTTTTGTGTTAAACATTTCTTTGCTGGATCAGTTTGCCTCCCTGTTAAATAATGAATAGGTTAAAAAGTTTTCATGGAAGTTGCAGGACTGATATTTGCCATAAAGGATGGGTGAGAGCATGAGGAAAAACAGCTTCTATTATTTAAAAACCTCCATCTGTAGACTCTGAACATCTTTAATTTAGTGCCTCCGACTAGAGCATTCCTTTTTGTGTCAAAATCTGCTGAATGCTAACAAAAACTACCAATGCAGTGTCAATATTGTTTTCTGCAGGGCAAAATAATTAAAGAACCCATCAAACAAAACTTACCTTAAAACCTCTCTCCTCCAGTTTTGGTGTTGAATAACTGTAGCATTTTCAGTCTATATATTCATTTCACTTGTGTTGATGGTGAAATTGCATATATGTGCATGTGCATCTCCACATGTCTTGTAGAATCAGATACATGGCCTGCATATTCAGGGACTGTAACTGATTGTACAGCAGTGCTTGCCAGCGTACAATATCTGAGAGCAGGATTAAGCCAAAGGCTTGCTTTAATATTGCCAGGTTCTTGACTCCTCTGATTACCAGTATTGCTCATTTGAAGTAACACTGTTCTCATTTCATTCTCAGGTGTGGTCTTTGCACACTTTGCAAATACATTCCACAACATATAATGGAAAATAACAAATAACAACTATTCAGATTAAATATGTATGCTGTATACTCATTTTTTTTTCCTGCATGGCATCTCAGAACAAAGGACATGGGGTTAGAGCAGTATTTCTCAAACTGGGGCTACCGCTTGTGTAGGGAAAGCCCCTGGCAAGCCGGGCCGGTTTGTTTACCTGCCCCGTCCGCAGGTCCAGCTGATCGCAGCTCCCACTGGCCCACGGTTCGCTGCTCCAGGCCAATGAGAGCTGCTGGAAGCGGT